GGAAATAAGTCGACTTCTAGCATAGATCTCCAGTCTTTACTTCTCTTCAGCTGATGCAGAACTATTTCGATTTATCTAGCTGATATTTGAAACATGAAGAATCAGGCTTCACGTATATAATGAATTCGAGGCAGGCATAGACGAGGCGAAATGATCGCCATCTATTGGCGAAAATTTAACTTGATGTGGGATGAACTAAATATTCAATTGATATTACATATTTTATTGCTCTATTCAAGCAAATGATCTGATCGAAACGAGTTCATTGCTACATTGGAATAAGAAAACTTGTATGTTGTTTCAAAGATATATTCTCATCAAAATGATCATTATTTCATCAAATCGATAAAATGTTTATAGTTGAATCAATATCGACATTATTTTGATTCGACATAATTGGTTTTTGAGAATACCATCATATATTTTGTTGATGGAATGGATATTATACTGTTGATTCAATTAGACTACATTCTTATTGATTTGAACAAGCTGCTTCCATGAAATGATCATGTGTCTGGTTGATTCAACAAAAATTGCTGAGTCCAACAGAAATGATTCGAGTATAAATAATTTGTTGATGCTACAAATCTTTCTTTTTTCGTGCATTCCCTAAGAATCTGCCACTATGGTAGTTTTTGCATTAAAAGTATGCTTTCTGGATAACAATAATTGAAGCTTTCTGGATCTCATTCGGAGAAAGTGTAGTCATCCAGCAAAATTTCGCAGATTTCGTGTTATGCCATATTGTATAAAAGTGATATTATTTTAGACGTGCCGTTATTATAGTCGGTTAGCGATAATAAATATACCTAAAGGTCTTCACAGGGCCTTATCACATATTCCTCAAACAATTCGATACAAGCAAACTCACCTCAGCACAAAGCTGCTTAGTTTGGGTTGACATAGCTTCATTGCGGGTAATAAAACCCATATATCATGATTATGAATAATATAATTCCATGGGCGTAGAACTTGATTGTTTCAGTAGGTAAATAAACATCTAAAACTTTTACGGCAATGGCAAGAAAGGGGTTTGAATATGAAATTCTGATTGCGTAACTTGATAAATAAAAAAAGATACGCCGTTTAGCACGTACTTCGTTTGTATACATCATATAAATGATGGACATTTTGAACAATTCTTATGAAATATTTAAATTTATCAAGGGTGCCTTTTTTGTAGTGACAAATTACCCAATCCAAATTTATTATTCAAACCCATTCGTTTTCTTTGCGTAGAAGTTTAAGATGTTCAAAAATCAAGTTGTATGCTTATGGGATAATATTCATCATTATCGTGATATGGATATTATCGCCCAATAATGCTACGCCAATAGAATGAAAGGGGTTTGAATATGAAATTTGGATTGTTTAAGGTACTCTTGGTAAAATTCGATCACCTACTCTCATGGCTTCGACAAAATTCTAATGTCAGTAGATTAAAGCATCGTTAACATCAAAACGATTAATAGATGTGTCATGAAACTTGTTCAAAGTGTTCATCATTTTTACCTATACGAAGATTAATACGACGAAAAATATGGATGCTTGCCAACTCACCTCAGTACAAAGTTGCTCACTCATCTTATGAATTTTTGTATACTCACGTGAGAATGATAAAAATGTTCAACAATTTTCGAGACAATTTTTGTGGAGCTCTAATTTACTGTGATTAAAATATTGTTGAAAACATGAGAACAATCGAATTTTATCAGGAGTGCCATTATTGTAATAAATAAGTCAAACAATCCAAATTTGATATTCGAACCCCTTTCATTCTATTGGAGTAGAAGTATTATATATTCATTCACTGGAAGTTATGCCAACATTGCCAACTTACCAAATTTGAGTGAAATCTGATGAGCCGTTTCATATAGTTGTTATGAAGAAAAACTATTTGAAAATTGTAGCTTCAGAGCCGTCTTGCGACCAAACTAAGCAACTTTGTACTGTGGTAAATTTGCTTGAATCAAATTGTTTTGATCTGAGGAATATATGGTAAGTTTTTGTATTTACCTTTCAGGGACACCCTGTATATTGCTTCTCATCTTGTTGAAGTCATGTAATATTTATTGTAGAAACTGTTCAGATATCAAGCAAGTTTTTCAGCCCTGAAGATAATACATCAACTGAGTCTAAATTGGCTCGTGAATTGTATAGGAACCTCAATCAATAATTGGTGGACGTGCATGAGCAAACACAATAAAAAATAATATACTTAATAATGGACATCACTGATAACTGTTGATTATTCAAATTCTCAAAATGATTTATAGTTATTGGTTATACCTAGATATTACTCGAAGTCACGTAGTCATCGTGTATCTGGATGAATCAAACTTTCTCAACGCAGCTGACATTATGCAAATTAGACTGAAGAAATGAAGTCAGCTCATTTACGGTTCATTGAATATTATTTGGATCGGGTCTGCCACCGTGTGTATACTGAATAAGTTGGCCAGCAAAGATTCTTTGAATCAACAAAAAATCTCAACTCCGACTGAGCAGAGAACTTTTATTCATGAAACAAGTTATAAATTAAAATCTCCATTGACTTGGTTGGAACTTTTAGCAATACAATTGCATGCAATACTTTCCCAAGCTAGCAAGCTAGCGTATGCAGTTAGTAACAAAGCCTGTACAGATTACATATTGGCTGAAGGACATCTCGTAAGATCGATGGCCGATTGTTATGTAGGAACAAATACATCAGCAGTAAGTTTCTAATAGAAAAATTGTAAGTTCAGTGACATTTCGGGGCAAATTATCAATTATTTAATTACCAGGAACATTGTGAATATACCTATACTTTTTATTTTTTTAAACAAGGAGAGAAAACCCCAATGAAATAGTAAAACGTAAATTATATACAGTGTGCTACAATTTGGTAAGCCCTACCCTTGTACTTTCGTATTCCTAGGACGACTCAAGAATTTTTCATTTCATAATATACCGAGATCTACCCAAATGTATCTACTTTGTCGAGCCAAAAAACATTATCAATCACAATTTTTTAGCCTACTGCGATCACAAAAACTCCAGCCAAATTGAGGAAAACGAATTAGCTTTTTTTTTAAATATTGATAATGGCAATCGATTAGTAGGTAAGTATCCATATATAATAATTCTTATAAGAATTTGAATCATACCAGGTATGATGGTTAGTCAGGATTAGATCATTCGTCTACAGAGTGAGATGAATAAATAATGAACAAAATCACTAGAAATTCAGATTTTTCATCAAGAAATAGAAATGAGAAAAAAACTGAATAATACCTATTGAAGAAAAACATAAAAAACCATTATTTCTAACAAGTTCAGCAAGATTGAGGAAATCGAATTAAGTTTTTCTCAAATTTTGATAATGGCAATCGATTAGTAGGTAAGTAACCATGTATGATAGTATTTATGAGAATTTTAATGATACCAGGTATGATGGTTAGTCAGGTAAATCAGGATTAGATCATTCGTCTACAGAGTGAGATGAATAAGAATAATGAACAAAATCACTAGAAATTCACATTTTTCATCAAGCAATAAAAAAAAAAAACTGAATGATACCTATCGAAGACTAACATCAAAGCCATTCCTGACAAGTTCAGCAAAATTGGGGAAAACCGAGGGGAAAACGAATTATTCTTTATTTGAATTTTGATAATGGCAATCGATTAGTAGGTATAAGTAACGCATGTATAATAATTCTTATGAGAATTTAAATGATATCAGGTGTGATGCTTAGTCAGGAATGCCAGGATTAGATCATTCGTCTACAGAGTGAGATGAATGAATAATGAACAAAATCACTAGAAATTCACATTTTTTATCAAGAAATAAGAATTCAATGAAGAAACTGAATAATACCTATCAAATATAATAACATCAAAACCATTTCTAACAAAATCAGATTTTGTATTCTCCATCGAATCTCCTTCTTTCCCTATACACTTTCCATATCTCTTTCGCACGTTATTCTCAAGTTTCTTCAGTTCTTCTGGTATTATCTCTCTGCAAACTGTTATTATTTTTTGTCGCAACTCTTCTCTATCTCTTGGCCTGATTTGTAATGACGTTGATCATGATCATTGGTTGTAAAGTGTATGATCGAGAATAAAATATCTGGACTTATTAAGATTGGTTGTTGTTGTAGTTCCTTGTCTGATCTTGTGATGTTATTTTTTCATAGGTATTATGTAGTTTTTCTCTTTGTTTCTTTATAAACAATCTGTATTTATAGTGGTTTTATACGATTTTTATCTCACTCTGCAGCCAAATGATCTAATACTAACCTCCACCATGCCTAGTATCATTCAATTTCATAAAATAATATCTGTACACGGTGAATTGGAAAATGCAATTATTCAATAAGTGTATAACGTTAGTAAAAAACACTCATCATGTGATTGTTTCGAAAATTGATATAGGAGTATTCGTGACTAGTTCGAATTAATTGCCATCGTCAGAATTTTTGTGAAAAAATGCCCAATCCGTTTTCTTCAATTTTGCTGGAGTTTTCGTGATCGCAGTAGACCAAGAAATTATGATTGATAATACATATTTGATTAATTAAAATTTTTTCTGCCTGTACGATTGATATAGTAGTAAAAAGTTGTTCGAATAATTATTATCTCCTGGTTCATGAAATGTTAGAATTTCACTATAATTATTGAAATGTCACACAAAAATCATTAATGCAATTGAAATACACTCGGAATTCATATTGAAATAACTGTCGACTCAGAATTATGAGGATGCCATAATGGTTTTTTATTATTATGTATGAAGTTCCGAGTCAAGTCTAGTACATTCATTGAGAATGGTTGTTTCTTAAAAAGGACTGCTCCCATTTTTTATTCATACTGAACCTGATATCTCAAATGGAGCACCTTGTATGTCAAGATATATATGTTATATGAGTGCTTGTAGAACAGAAGCTTCATTCAAATATGTGCTACCTTCGATGAATTATATTTCAATATACTAATTATCAAGTGCTGACCTACCTCCACCTAACGTCGTGATCGTCTGCTGATGTTTATGCGTCGTTCCGTGATGATTCAATCCGTACTTGATGGGCTTGAAGTGGAAGAACGACGGCGAATATCCAGATGCCGCCCTACTTAACGAACTAAAACGCTCCTCACGATCTTCCACATAAACTCCCTCCTTGCCCATAGCGGCTAATTGCCTTCCTTTGGGCATGAACATGATTAAAAACACCATGACGGAGGAAATAACGAGACCGAAAGCTATGCAAGCGTCTCTGTGTCGCTCGTTCACAAGCAGCCCGCTCATAGTCCAAATCAACCATGTAGGGATGCAACACCCCACGGATAACCCTATGTAGGTGGCCTCGCGATAATTGTCTCTTATCCCACGGGACTTAACGGCCAGAACAGTCACGAACAGTATCAGGAAGATGACGTAGATCAGGGAAAGGAGCATGTCTGTGTATGGGGTGCGGCACAAGGGTATCAAAGCTGGACTACCCACGTCTTCCGCGGTAACTAAAAGTCTGTGCTTATTTGGCGCCACTACAGTTTCTATCGCTATATTGTCTACTAAGGGAGGGCTTGTCAGCAGCCACTGTACTCCTATAGCCACTTGTATGAGGATCGCGAAGAGCAGCAAGAGACCCTGGTAGGGTGCAGGGAGGTATACCCCACCGTTCAAGCTAATGAGAAATACGCACTTCACCAGCAGAGAAGCGAAGACTATAGCGTAAGCTACCCCCATGCCGAATCGCACTAGGGCGCAGGTGAGTTGCGTAGGCGAGACAGCCAAGACAGCAGCAAGACCCGCACAGGAAAACAACCCCAGTAGCAGCATTTGCCCGAGGAACAGGTGACGACGGCTAGGGGTGGTCCTCCAGGCTTTGCAGAGCACGAACACTTCGAACCCGGCTATAAGCAGCATGGTGATGGCGGATAGAGCTAGCACAGGGATGACCCACACCTCGTTCCTGAAAACCCCGGCGATTTTTTCGGTTTCCACCGGGCAGCCAGCGCAGGCGGTCTTCGAAACGTAATTCCCGGTGGTGGTTCCCGGGGAGGAGGTCGTAGGCACCAGGAAAAACTCGGTGCTCATCTCGAGGCGGCGTTTCAGCGCCACGGTGATGTTGGCGGGCTGGATGAAGTCCATGGACTTGGGGACTGATTCCATGGGTTCCGGACCGCGGTCTAGGTCGCCGGAGCGCGCTTTTCGATCTTCTGCCGCCGTCGAGAGGGCGATGCATACCGCGGTGAGCAGAACGACGGTTCGAGCCATACTGGAATGGTATCGGGCCGCTACGGCGATGGAGTCCACCTCTTCTTCTTCTTCTTCTTCTTCTTTGGCGGGACCGCGTTCGCGATTCCAGCGCTCATTAACGGCGGGTCCGTCCGCAGAAAAACTTGGTGCTTTTGTTGTTGAATTAATCGCGGTGAATGGTGATGAGAAAAAAAACGGCGTTCTCGAATTCATAATCGTGATTATGAATTGCACAAAACTGATATTGTTTTGGATTCCACGGTATTGTTCATTTTAGTTTTCATGAATAGTTCTTCAACATCTACTCGCTGATATATTCTCATTAGTCAAATACACCAGCTCATGAAGCTTTTTCTAATTGCATGGTTGAATTGATTGATGAAAAACGAATATGTTTTTTCAGGATATTCCGTTGGCTTTGCTGATTGGAATGAAAAATTTGATTTATTTTAATGGATACTGAATAATTGACAATATCGGGCAATATTCTAATAGTGTTGGAATATGAATATCGATTCAGAGCCGATGGATTGAGATATTATATTCTCCAAAGTTTACATCGATGACTATTTTGAGGCCTTGTTTTGTCAATAATTATAGCTTCCACAGTGATCCTCTTCATATTCTCTGATTTTCACTGATCCACAGCTGAAGTGGTCTTTCTTGATACCAGAATTTCTACCTCCATAGGATTATGAGAAACGAAATACTGTTGCATGAGTTTATAACTTGATTAATATAGTTTGATTCTCATGATTATGATGATTATCTCTAGTTGGAAGATTACTTTTATAATAGACAGGTTTACATAACCTAAGTTTACTTTTGATAGCGACGAATGAGTTAAACATGATAGTTATGCTTCTGGATAGATATAGCCACTCCAATTATTATGATAACTAGGTATATGAGGTTATAAGATACCAAACACATGCAGTTCATAATGAAATTCGAAACACTAGATAGGTAGATAGATACTTACTCGCAATATTATAATAATTGGGGAATCCATCTTTTATATTATCAATTGAGAATACTCCTGCCATAATAAATAACGACCAGGAAAAGTGAGAACCACAATAATTCGAAAACAAACCAGAGAGAAACGAAATCGACGCTATAACTAGAGTCACATACAATAATGATCCAAATGATCATCTAATTGTTGATGAAGACGTTCCCAGAACATCCACCAGGGGGACAAGTAGTGAACAGAATATTGGCAGCAAAGGGCCAAAAATCGTTAGTTTTCAACTGGTTTCAGACATCTTACCATCACAACGACATCATCGTATTTTCAACTGATGGTTACTCCAGCATTGGGAAATCATCAGCCCATTACCAATACTCCGACATCGTCACTTTTCCAGACTTGCCTGCACTAGGTCAGACTTCTCTCGGTAGTTCAATGTTTGCTGGGATACGACGTACGCATATGGTACACATAGTCGCTTATACTCGCCGCAAATTTATGACACACACATCACCTTTACAGTCCTTTGATCAATCATGATAGAAGGACGTAGAATTAATTCGACTCGCGAATAATCTATCCACATACAACTTGCCAAATTGAATCCGACATTTTTCATTTTCATCACTCAAACTTTCATATTTTAGGCAGAATCATTCAAACAAGCAGAACTGAAGGATTCGTATCATTGTCTTCGACAATTCCACGACATATTTGGAACTATCATCTCCCACGACTCCCACGATATAAGAACCAATAATTATTATTGGAATGGTGTGCCTTAAATAGTACGCTGGTCCTTTATTTCGATCCGGTAAGACCACGTCGCAACGGTAACCACGTATCCAACACGAAACTGAATAGAACAACATCTTGTCACCTGGTATGAGATGGAGATGACAGTTCCATATAGGTCGGGATTGGTCGTATTACCAAACAATCTGATCATATTGATTCCTGACAGAATTACTATCGTATAGTATTGTGAGCACCCATGGTATTGCCCCTGATATCTCAACAATAAAAATGAAGATTGCTGAGAACAGACGTGGAGAATGGACCTAAATTACCAATTTACAAGCTTTCACTATAACTTTGAATTGATTCTGCCGTTATTTGATAGAAATGCGTAGTAATTCTAATAATTCCACAAACGATTGAATTTTCAAAAATTCCCAAAAACAAGACATGTTTTGCTAACACAGTAACTTAGTCTGTAGTTTTTAGAACTGCCTTAACTGAATTCACGAACTAACGGTTACCTTTTATTACCTCTATATTGCTATAAATCCGTGTAAATGTCTAGCTATATTCATTATATAGTTTTTTTGTATTTGTACTGGTATTTAATTTTCTATTACCGCTGGCATCGGACTCTACCTAATGACTGACCTACTACAACTCACGACGATACACTGAACTTGTTTTGATTATTCAATTATATAGTTCACAGTATCTGAAGATAATGTATTTAAATGGAAATAATAACATATCTCTTTCGCTATTATCTAACAATCAAGTTCTGACAACTTTAAGGAAAAGCTAAACTGGTGTGGGTCCACCGATATTGAGAAGTTTTTGAAATTCTATGCGGTGAGGATATATGACATTCTGTGAATTTTATATATATATATATTGAGGTACGATTTTATATTTACAAAATTTAAGCAATGGAATTATACTGTTGAAAATTTGAGATTACTCATACATGAAGAGGGTCTTTGTATATAGAGAGCATTTATATTGAGAATATGTTCAAGCAAGCAACAGGTTATTTTTATAACTGTATTATGATGAAAAATTGAAACAATATTTGGAAGAGGCGTTCAAAGCACGAAGACAGTCTCCATTTGATATGAAAACATTATATTTGAGGAACTTAGTTGCTAGACACACCTAATATGGGATTTTTCGAATGAATATACCGGGTGTCAAAGATTGTATTACACAAATCATAACTCCTGGAATATCAAGTGAATCGAAATAAAATGTGGAACAGGTAAATGGTATGTGGAGGGAAGAGTCTTCGCATATTTTCCATTTTCCGGTTTGCCAAAAATACTTCAGTTCTAAATTCTCAAATGGAACACCTTGTAAATTGGAATATTTTGGACTTCTGAAACAATTTTGGATCAGAATATTATAACATTCTCAGAAGTTTTGACATCTTCATTATTTTAGAGTGACTTGAGATTGCATAAAATCAAGGGAATTTCACTGTCTGCTCATTAAGCTTATGTCACTGTCATCACCGAAGTTAGTGTTTGGTTTTTCGAAGGTAACTCATTGAAAATTACAGCAAAATATTATGCGTCGGAATTATCTTTTTACACGCAATAGTATAGAGAAACCTATAGTATACATCTGACTCTCTTATCATAAATGCTGGTGTTCCGCAAGGATCAATTCAAGCACCAACACTATTTCTACTCCATATCAACGATTTGTTGGATGCAACTTCATTTCCAGTACACAGCTTCGCGGATTATAGTACCCTCCATACCGCCTTCTCTTCCAGGGCTCCAATACCAGCCAGACAACGAGGGAGCAATGTTGACAACATAAATATGGACTTGGCAACAATTCTGAATGGGGATCCAATAACTTGGTAGATTTCAATGCAAACAAAACACAAGCATGCCTTTTCTCTAGAAAATCCGATCTCACTGTGCCCACCATAAGCTTGTCCGGAGTAACCATACCTTTGAAGATATCCATTTCGATGCTTGGTATTACTATCAGCAATAACCTTCCTTGTGAAAATCACGTAGGATCGATTGCTAAAAGTGCATCCCAAAAACTTGGTTTTCTGTTTCGGGCCAGGAGCCATTTCACTTTCAGTCAGCTGCTTATGATCTATAGGGCACAGATCCAACCTGTCCTGGAATACTGTTCCCAAATTTGAAGTGCAGCAGCCAAACATACCCTGAAACTGTTGGATTCTGTCCAAAAAAGGGCAATTCGTCTCCTGGGTGATGCCTCGCTCACAAACTCACTCACTTCTCAGGAACACCGTAGAAAAATTGGCGATCTGGCTTCATTCTATAGATATTTTCATGGACGATGCTCTTCTGAAATATCAACAATTGTTCCTCCCTTGGCAGTCCCCACGAGATTGACCCGTCGAGTTGAGGCCTCGCACCCCTTCGTGGTCACTTTGGAGACCTGCAGAACATCTCTTTCCGAAGAATCGTTCATCCAACGAACTGCGAGGCTCTGAAACACATTGCCAAGGAATGTGTTTGCCGAGGCATATAACCTCCAGGAATTTAAGAAGAACACCAATTCCTACATTATTTCTCTTGGTTCTCACGATGTTCTCTGAACATTACAGGATATCCCTTTTCGTGAGGACCAGAACATAAAAAATATACCGGGTGACACAGGAAACATGTAAGAGCCTGTAGTTTTTTTATTTGGAGAGATACAAAATTGAAATTCACAAGGGTTATATTATCGATGATGACGCTTCGCTTGAACCTAATGACAATTTTCGTCTGAGTAATGATCTTTGGATTTCTGAGCCTATCAAGCTTCGAATTGTCATTGTATTCGGGCCACAGCCAACTTCATGTATTTCAATAAAATGGAATTTAACAGTGGATTAAAATGAACGAATATCAAAATCGATAATATAACACTTGTGAATTCCAATTTCAAATTTCCATCTCTTCATATAAAAAAAACTACAGGTTGTTACATGTCTCTGGTGTCACCCGGTATATTGCTATATATAAAAAAATATATTCCCTGTCTTTGTTTTCCACCGCTTCAAGACAAGAACAAGAAATTATGGAGAAAATGTCCATCGCTATTATTATGCATGGTTTATGGGCGATCTTAAAATACATTTCTAAACAAGCCAATAATTGCGGATGAAAGATTGCGTAATAGAGAAATGGTCAGAACGAGATGAGAAGATAATTGTGCATAAGTCGAGGATTGAATGCAGTAGCGATTGCATATAATTTCAAAGTCACTGGTCACGGATATACGTGTTCCATGCACTGACTGTATAAGCAGGCATTTTTTCGACCGCCTACTTCGTACAATTGGTACCTTCCTCGACTGTTTCAGTATTTCAGTATCTCCCACGATGCCAGTGATATCCCTCGATGATTTCCCCTGATCTTTCCACATTTACATGTAATTCCGCGTTTGTGTACGGAGTTCTATCATCCGTCGAAATTATGTATGCAGATGCTGCCGATTACTCTCTTGAGGGCAATTGATTTATGTT